TGCTGCAGCAGCAGCAGCAACTGCAACAGCAGCAAACGCAGGGGAGCCGCAGCAGCAGCCTTAGATGGCCGCCAGGAGCGCACGAGCAGCCGCTGCAGCAGCAGCAGCAGCAGCAACAGAAGAAGCAGCAAAAGCAAAAATAAAAAAGCAAGACGACAGAGCACAACTAATTACCGAGAATGAAACGAATGAAGTGCAGCAGCTGCAAACGCACCGAGCCACGCCCAAGTGGCTGCAGCAGCAGCAGCAGCAGCAACAGCAACAGCTGCAGCAAGCGAGGCTGCGCATGCACGGCTGCTGCTGCTGCTGCTCGACGCGCTGCTCCTACTCCCGTTATGCAGCAAAGTGTTATATCCATTTATTACGTGGTTTTGCTGCTGAGGCTCCCTCGCAGCAGCGCCGCAGCAGCGGGAGAGCAGCAGCAGCAGCAGCAGCAGCTGCAGCAGCAGCTGCAGCAGCACCAGATCTGGTCCTGCAGCAACCGCAGCAGCTCTAACACTCTGCCCTCCACTGCCTTTCTTTTTGCTGCTCTTTGAGACCCTCGCAGCGCCAGCCACTGGCCAACAGACAAGGCTTTAGGGTTTAGGGTTTAGGGCCTAGGGTTTAGGGTTTAGGGTCTACGACTGGGGGTTTAGGGAGTGAGTTGATAGTTACTGCAGCGCCGCTGCAGCAGTGGGCTCTCACAGCCGCAGCAGCGGCAGAGAAGGCTGCAGAAAACAGGCAGCAGCTGCAGCAGCGTGGCAAGCAGCAGCAGCAAAAGCAGCAGCCGCTGCAGCGCGGCGAACAGCAGCAACAGCAGCAGCAGCTGCAGCAGCAACCTTCCCTGAGAAAGCAGCCGATCTGGGTGGCAGCGAGACGATGGGGGGCGAGAGCTACCGCAGCAGCAGCAGCAGCAGCAGCAGCAGCAGCAGCAGGCAGGACACAATGGCAGCGGGCTCATGGCAGCGGACCAAGCAGGAGTCCTGCTACCCTTCTTATAGCAGCAGCAGCAGCAGCAGCAGCAGAAGCCATAGGGGGGGCTGGGATGTAAAGCCGGAGCAGCAAGACACAGCAGCAACAGCAGCAACAGCAGCAAGGACCAGATGGCGCAGCCGCAGCCCGCAGCGCGGGTCCCCTGCTGCTGCTGCTGCTGCTGCTGCTGCTGCAGCACATGGCGGTTCGTACAAGCGCGTGAAGGAGGAGGAAGGTTTTGATTCGGCGACTGCTGCTGCTGCTGCTGCAGCACGAGCAGAACTAGCAGCAGCAGCAGCAGCAGCAGCAGCAGCAAGCAAGCAAGAAGCAACAAAGAGGGCCAAAGAAGAACCAAGAAGCAGAAGGAGACGCCGCGAAGAAGATGCAGCAGCAGCAGCAGCAGCAAACTATGAGTGGGGCGGCAAGGAGACAGAGAAAAAGGAAGGAGACAAAAGTCAAGAAAGATTCAGACCCGGTACTTTGCTGCTGCTGCTGCTGCTGCTGCTGCTGCTGCTGCTAGTGCTGTTGCTGCTAAAGCTCCTGCTTTTCTGGTTGTTGCTGCTGCTGTTAGTCCTGTTGCTGCTGCTGCTATATCTGTTGTTTCTCCTTCTGCTGCTGCACTGCTGTTGTTCTTGCTGCTGCTGCTGCTGCTGCGTCTTTGCTGCACTGGTGACTGCTGCTGTTGTGGTTGCCATCGCACCTGCTGCTGCTGCTGCATCTGCTGCTGCTGCATCTGCTGCTGCTGCATCTGCTGCTGCTGCATCTGCTGCTGCAGCACTGAAGCCGACCTTTGAACCTTCTGGGCTGCTTGCGGAAGACGCTGGAGAAGCAGCAGCAACACAAATGGAAAGAAACGGCGTTCCCCTTAAGGTGCTGCTGCTGTTGCTGCTGCTGCTGCTGCTGCTGCTGCTGCTGCTGCATAGAGCAGCTGGTGGTGCTGCTGTTGCTGTTGTTGTAGTTTGTGTTGCTGTTGCTGCTGCTGGTGTTGCGTGTTCTGCTGTTGCTGCTGCTGCTGCTGCTGCTTGTTGTAATCCCAAGGGTATCTCCAGCAGCAGTGCATGAAGCAGCAGCAGGATTACGCTGTGCTGCTGTTGCTGCTGCTGCTGCTGCTGCTGCTTCTGGCTGCAGTGCTTCCTGTGCTGCTGCTGCCGTCTCATGTGAATTCGCATCTGCTGTGCCGCTGCTGCTGCTGCTGCTGCTGCTGTGCTTCTGCTGCCTCTTCCTGCTGCTTCTCCGCTGCGCCTCCCCTGCTGCTGCCCCTGCTGCTGCTGCCGCTGCTGCTGCTGCTGCTGCCGCTGCTGCTGCTGCTGCAGCACGGGCCTCCTGCTGACGAAAGCCTGCCGGACAAGAAGTGGCGTCTTTACCAATTCAAGAAGCAGCACCGCAAAAGCCTCGCCTCTCCTGACGAAGAGCCCGGAAGTAATTTATTTATTTATTTATTTATTTATTTGTTTTAATTAATTAATTAATTAATTAATTTATTTATTTATTTATTTATTTATTTATTTATTTATTTATTTATTATGTTGGATTCCACTTTGCTGCGCTT